TTTGTTTCTCCAGGATTGAAACAGAAGGACATGATTTTAGAAAGAAATGATCCTCCTGACCACTAAAAAGCAAATCCCCAGGACATTTGGGCAAATCATGCTCTTTCTGATACCGAGAGAGGAGGAAAGGGAGTAAAATTTGCAGGTAGAGAGTTCCTACAGAAATGGATTTTGATTGTTGCTCTCAACTTCCTTTTTCTGTAGAAGGCTTTTCATCACTTTTCTCCTACTCTAATGTGGCCCATGGTGACTGAGCAGAACAGGATTCAGTCAGAAAAAAAGACACAGAAGCRGTCTTTGCGCAATATTTCACCTTGTTTGTRTTAGGAYTTATCTRAAAAATGAGAKTCTCAGGAAAAAAKAACTCAAWCTTGTTTTTTTTCTTCAAAGTTTTKTATGATTAAGGTAAGGAACAGGAACACAGCAATGTTGATAAAAGAGTTGAGCAGCCCAACCTCCTCTCAGATTTTTTTTCTGAGATGAGTTTGATATCTGGACCTTATCCTCTAACTCTGGCTTTCCAGGCTTTAAATGAGGGTTYAATGCCTGTGGAAGGTGTTGGGCTGACGGTCCAAGGAGCGGGGAAATAACCTCAAATAGTGCACGCGTCACACCCTCCATAAAAATATCACAGCACGCTGTAAAGTTAAATTAGACTCCTTGTTTTGCCACAGATCAAACACACCACAAGGCAGAGGAATGCAGGGGATTTTTCCTCCTCTACCCTGCAAAAAGAACTTCAACACCAACTCCCAAAGCTTCCTCAAAGGCGTGTGGCTAATCCCAGTTGGTCTCCGGTCCTCTTTAATAAACCTGAAAAAACCCCACGTGTGGGCACAGCCGGTACAAGCTGAGCTGGTGTTTTCTGTGGTGTAAACATTTGGGTTTGTACCAGTTTTTCCTCTCCAAGGTGAGAGAACAGCACAAACCATGTGTGAGTCRAAGGCTGATGGGTTTGAAGAAGTGACCTCAAAAGGGAAAAGACACTGCCAGTAACTTAATCTGAAAAATCACAGCCACTTTGAGGAAAATATTTAGGCAATTGTAATTTTCTCTGGAGTTTCAGGAGAAGTTTCAGGAGTCACAGGAGAAGAAAACTAATGCTGGCAAAAAAGAAAGGCTTTTTCTAGAAGAACAGTTAAAAGATAATGCCCAACACTTTGGTTTATCCTGAAAAACAGTGCAGGATGTTAGGATAAACAGGATTTAAAAAGTGAAACAATTGTATTTCAGAGACTGTCAGTAAGGGGAAGGAATTGGTTACTGCKTAGCCACTGCCCATTTTAAAACATTTACGCCAATAAAACATTTACACTCCTGTTTTTGTTTTATTAGGAATCTGTGAATCCATGTAATTTTGAAGCCATTTCACTTCATGTCCTGCACTGAATGAAACAGAGTGAGTGTGTTCAATGTGTGATTCCAAAATAACTGATCCAGAGAGACAACTCTGTTGTCCAGTACAGGATCTCATCAATAAATGGCAGCAAYACCCATGCAATTATTAAATCAACATATTGATGCCTTTCAGCCTTACTGCATCTTGTCTAATTAGAGAAGATGCAGATGATGATGATTAAAGACGGAATCTATTATGTCATGGCCTGCTTAAGCTGGTTACTACCCAATGAACCAAAGTTTTGTGAAATCCATCCAGGATTCAAATGGCTTTTTCACATGAGCTCAGAGCTGTTTTACTGTTGCAAGCAGGCCACTTAATTCCCAGGGAAGGGAGTGGTCTGGAAAGCAATATGGAAAAGAGCCTTTCCCTTTTGGGGAGCCAGTGGTCATATTCTCCCAATAAAAAGTAACCTGTAGCTGTGGTGGAAAAGACATTTACCCAGAGAAAGTTGCTTGAGTAAGAAAGTACAAGAAGTGTTGCTCAGCATGCATTTTGACCAGGGATTTTCATACCAGCTCAGCATAAAAAGGACAAGAGCTCTCTTTTTACCCCGTGAAGAAAATTCATCATTAACAAGTCAGCTGCATTAACTGGGCTGTTGTGTGTCAGCACAAAGCTTCCATTCTGGCAAAAAGCTGTCTGAGCACAGGTGAAAACACATAAAATGGAAAACAAGACCAGAGATATGGCTGGGGATCCGTATTTCCAGGTGTCATTCTTCCAAGGTTATACCTAGGGAACATTTTTACTTGTTCAAGAAACACCACTGCTTGGGCTGTGCCTAAAATTAAACACATTACGAATACTGCTTTAATTATGGGTAAAATGATGCAGAAATAAAGAGAATAGAGTTGGCAAAACCCTCATTTTATTATAATGAATATTATATAAGAAATACAACCTACTAAATGCAAGTGTTTCTGTTGACATCTTCCCAATCATAAGGAAACATCTGATATTTCCCTCAACAAAAGTTTAAAGTGAACCTTAAAGTGAACCTTAAAGTGAAATGTAAAAAAAAAAAAAAAGTTAAAAAAAAAAAAAAAAAAAAAAAAAAAAATCAAAATGAAAAAAAATCTCTTATGAAAATACTAAATCACCAAAAATAAGAAAAATACTATGGGTACTGAATTTTATCTGTTTCCTTTGCAATCTTTAAAGCTGGAGAAATAGAGATGTAAAATATTGSATTAGAACAGTTCTTTGCCCTGATTTCAAAAAGGTCAAATAGAGCTAAAACCCCCAGCACAGATCCTTACTTTCTCTTTTCAAATAAATCACATTAATGATCTTTTTTCAGCTATGGATATGGTACTTTCCCTTTTMTGCCTTTCATTTGGAAGAGCTGATTTAGCAAATTCTCATTTTTCTTTCTTAGGTTTGCAGGATTAATTTTAAGTATATACTAAAATATTTTGCTACATTAGGGTTACACATGGTAGTACTTTCAGCAAATTATTGAAGGAAAAACAAAGAAGGAGCTTCCAAGACACGGCTTAGGCAATCCCAATAAAGGCAGAGTTTGTTGCTGGAAAGCTGAAAGGTTGAATTTTTKGAGGGGAGGGACTCATAAAGGAAGAGCATCAGTGATAAAGAATTCAACTCCTTGGAGATTTAATGTTAATAATTACAAGTGCTGCCAATGTGCAAACAGCCTGGTGGAATTTGTCAGGTTCTGTCCTATGGGCAGATGCAATCTCCTCACAGAGATTACCCCCACCTATTCAGCAGAAGTAGCTTAGCCATAAATCAGAGAGCACAGAAAGCAGCTGCAATAAATTGTGTAGAATCGAGATACATTTTGGAGAAAATCCACTGTTTAATCCCAACAGCAGAAACTCTCTTTGGCAGGTCAGTGCTTTAGACATTTGTGCTTAGTGCCTCGCAGAGTGTTTGCCTTCCTACCTCTACCACTGCAATTTAAAAAAAAAAAAAAGGCAATTAAAATGTTTTCTTATTTATTAATTGTTTGATGTTGTCCATAAAGAAGGAAAAGGTGACATTTGTGTTTCTTTGTTGGTGTTTTCAGATTGTTTTCCCAAGCCTGACTTCAGAGAACACTTCCCAGGCCACGGGGCCAGTGAGGTGGATGAGTTCATCCCTGTACCTTCTGGCCCTATAAAAGCACAAATGGCTGAAATCCCGCCCCCCAACACTTCCCACCTAGAAAAAGGCATTTTTCCAGGGAAGTCTAAAAGGTTTTCAGCAAAGCTTTCCCTGCCTGTGAGTTGCACTCTGCTCTGTCAAGCACTGGAAAGGGAAATTCTCCTTTGCCCAGGGGCCAGGTCTGGTTGCTGGGCCAGATTTGATGTTTCTCTTCCCTTCAGGAGAGCCTGGGATGGAGATTCCAGAGGGGATGGATCCTTTCCCATCCCTGCTGTCCTCTCAGAGTGGAGGGAGGGGTCSTCTGCTCCACACTTTGCATATAAGGGCTGGACAGGTTGGCAGGAGAGCAATTTTAATCTTCCTGTCAAAACTTTTTGGGTTTGCCTGCGTATAAAAGCCATCCATGAAATATGTTCATGCGCCAGTTCACAATTGCTTATTATTTATTTCTGTCCATTTCCTGGAAGYCTTTTGAAGGTGGGTAGCAGGGTCAGAAGTTAAAATGAGTACACAAACACATTTTCTTGTAGGGGAAGTCCATCAGGGTAATTTAATGGAATCACAGAATGGTTTGGGTTGGAAAGGACCTTAAATTATTAAGRTCCTGTGTCACCCCTGCCAGGGACAGGGACATCTTCCACTATCCAAGGTTTCTCCAAACCCCTGGGACATTCACAAAAATAATGCCTTCCCCTTTATTTCTCTCACCCCATAATAAATTACCTGTAGGATCCTGAAACAGGTGTCAGAATCAAAGCTATAACATAGAAAATACCACAAAATTGTTTGAGTGTGACCCTAGAAAAATAAATTACATATAAATGGCATTTTATGAACAAACTTGCCACAGGGAAAAGGAAAAGCAGATTTACTTTGATACACTGAATTTCAGGGATTAATAGATTTTTGTACAGGCTGTCTTAAACAGAATTTTGTTTTATAAATGATCAGGTATGGTTTGTTTACCCTGTTGTCTTTATGACATTAAACATCTAATGTTTGTGCCTACAGTGGGAATGGAATGACTGCAATGGGTAACCCAAAACCTGGCTGAAGTTTCACACAGCCACCACAGCTCGTGTGGACACTGTGGGTGAATCATCTCCCACAGCTCAGAGCCCCTCCAGCAGTGCCCAAAGACATGCAGGAGCTTTTGCTAAGTGTTTAAAGATTATCAGATGGGCATGGAGAAAGGATTTGGAGCACTGGAATGCARCTCCTTGATCTGTTAAGCTCCGTGGTATGCCAGCTGTGAAGGACTTGTTTAACCAGATCCTCATTATTTTATGGACTGCAGGGAGGAGAAAATATTTCCTTAATACCACCAGGAGTAAATTAGCAGGGTCTAAATTAATACTTTCCCCCAGAAGCTGCTGCAGTTGCACACAACCCTGCAGCTCACCCAGCCTCACCAGGAATCCCAACTTTGTTTCTGGAAATATTCCGTGCTTCATATTGGCTGCAGTGAAAGCAAACAACAGTTTAGTGAGAAGATGTGATGGAGCATCCACAAAYGTCTCAAGGTACCTCATTCAGTGATAGACAGGGAGGAATTTWAAAGCTCTAATTATTTTTTTCCTGGTAATTTCAGCCTCTTGCACGGGAGAGTGTAGTGGCTGCAGCATCCCCCACTCCATGAGTGCTGGACAAGGAAAAGGAACAATTCCCATTTCCATCTCTGAGGAGATTTTTGCTGGAACAACTTCCCTATCTTGACAGGTAGAGAGTTGGGTATCTGTCAGTCACAGGGTGTGGCTCAGGATCCCAGACAGAACCCTTTGAGATTCAGCTGAAACTTTTTGCAAACATTTGTAATCTCAGAACAGTTGTACCTTGCTCCCAAAAGTCTTCCTTATCTCCCTGTGTTTTTCCCTTCTCTTTGTCTCTTTGTCCTGTTATTCTCTTTACTAAAATTGTTGGAGTTCATCTGACTGGATTTCTTTGCTGAATGTGTATTTTGGGATTTTCACACAGATGTGCATCCCTGGAGGACTGAACATTTCCCTTCTCCTTATTATCCCACCCCCTCCCTGGGTGGGTGAGGAATAGCCCCCCTAAAGATGCACATTGCTGCAGCACATGCAGAGGAGCAGCTTCCACATTTTATATCTGCAGGTTTATAATGAAATATTAATTAAAATAAAGTGACTGGACTCAAAAGCAAAAGAAGGGAAATGCTCTTTGCTGGTGAGCCCCAGCCAAGCTGAGTGCACCAAAATCACAGCATATGTTTTCTCTCTCCTTAAAGACTGCAGATTATTACAGGCAGGCTTTATTGTGATCTATAATTTTGGTCTTCTACCTCTGACTATGCCAAACAGCATTTTTTGTTCTGTTCTAGCAGCAATCAAGAATGGTATGTTATCAAGCCACAGTGCTGTGACCTTTGGATTTAAAAAGAATATTCCAGCTACTTGGAGCCAACACATATATTAAATTCTAAGGTTGGAGGAAGGGTGAAAAACAGAGGACACGTTTTTCAAGATGTCTCGCAATCCCGAAGCTCAGTTCTTCATTTCTCTTCAAGATTTATCGATTTTGGTGCCTGACTACAGATTTTACAAGGATGTTATACAAAGGGCATTCCATTTATTTTGGTCAGCAGCCAGACAGTTAAATTTCTAAACAGCTGTCTGGGAGTGGATGAACACATGGACTCAAGATGTCTTAAAATAAAAAATAAAAAAATAAAAAAATAATAATAAAAAAGACTTGAATGCTGTTTCTTCCAGTATAGGTGTGGTATAAATACACAATTAAGATATTTTTCATATTTGCATTCAGAGGGAAGAAAGACTGTGAATAAAGTTCCTGAAAAAGAATATTAAGTCCTACCTTCAGGACAATTAAATGCATCAGGTTACTAATTAATTTTCTTCCTGGGGAGAATGCTTAACAATGCTGAAGAACTTGCAAACAAAATGTCTAATCAGTTCTTTATAATAAACAAAGAAAAAAAACCCACWTTGAAATAAACCTTTGATTMTTACAAATATTGTAACCTCTCCCTTTTGGCTAACCTCTTTATTACAATAAAAGACAAAAATCTCATCCACGTTTCTTTGCCTCTCAAAATACAATGTATCAATTTAACTGCATTAGGTGGATATCTCATTAGTTAAGGAATATGGCATCTTTTTTGTTGTTGTTCTCCTTGGTAGAAATATATCTGGGAAGTATTTTTTTACATGAGTATGTAGCCTGCCATTATTCATATCCTGACAGCATTAAAGGYGAATGGACTCCGAAAATGATCCAGCTATGAGAAAACAATGACAAGTGGAAAGAGAATAGAGACCACTGCCCCTTTTCCCACTGGATAAATATCTGAATACTTGACCTACAATAAGGGCAGCTTGGGATGGGCTTTGACCCAGGCTGAGACAGTTACTGAACAAGTTTTTTGGTGATAGGATGGATACAGACAGTGGTTGTCTCTCTAACTTCTGCCATCTCTGTTGTGCCAGCACAACAATTTAATAATTTTTTTTGAGCAATAGGCAGGGACAGGGTAGATTGGACTTCATTTCAGTCAGATTAGTCWCCCATTCCATCTCTCCATGCACAAGCAGAAGTATTTGCCACAGAATAATCACAGGGATAATGCAGGAAAGAATATGTGGCTACAAAAAGAGAGATTGCTCACAGAGAGCTCCAGGAAGCACAAAACCAATCAGGTCAGGCCAGGCTTTACAGAATCCAGCACCAACACTGATAATTTGGGCTAGAGAAGGAGCAGTGCCGCAATTAAAACCCAGCAGCCCCCAAACTTCAAACTAGATGTGATCTGAGTGGTTGAGCACACATCTCTGTGGAGCTTGACAGCCACCAACTCCATTAGAATCAGATGCTTCTGAGGAATAACACAAATTTTTCTTCTTTATGACAACAGAACCAAAATGCCTCTGGCTCTTGCTGCAGAGAGTGCAGAGAGGCTCTTCCCAAAGGCTGGCTTTAAGGATCTGAGGGTTGCATCCCTGTAACTGCTTCTTAAAAGGTACATTTTAAAAAAAAATTACAGTTCATGGCTGCTCGAAGAATTCAGCGGGCTTTAACTCTGGTTCTAAACTACACACAGCATTCAGACCAAACCAGGTAATTCCAGACTACAAACTCATGAGGAGAACAAGTGCCCTGAGGAACATTTCTCATCCTTTTTTCCTCTCACCAAGCACAATTCAGTGAACATTGTTCAGGAYCGAGGGGCACAGGCCTGCCATGAGAGATAAGAAGGAGATAACTCTGTCAAGGWCATACAGATTCTTGAAAATACAGTAAAATTTAGGCAGTTTTCTATTCCTTTCTGGTTTAAACATATTTTTGAAGTATTTCTGTGTGGGATGTAAGTCTTCTATGTAATCCTGTGCTGGCTGCTGGGACAAGTCACTGAAGAAAGATTTCCTTTAGTGCCAGTTGTGGTTGGGGTTTGGGGAAATGGGATTATTAATGAGCATTTATAGGGTCTCTCTGTAGATTCCCTCCTAATGAGATCAGATTTTCAGATGTGAGGTGAGCTTTAGCCTGTATTCTTATCTGATTTAAGACTGAGATCTATGCATGTGAAACTTAAATGCTGGGAAATTAAAGTCCAGCTGCCTGYACTGTAATCACAGAACTGTACAGAGAAATGTTTTCATTAATTCCTGATCTGCCTGTTTTGACAGCAGCTTAGTTGTCTGATAACAGCAACGAGACAAATTAAATCCTGCTGCAGGCAGTGTACAGACCACATTACTCAAAAAGAGAAATTAAAAACTGTTGAACATCTGTTATCACTGTGAATTTAATCTGTAGAACAACTTCATTATTTTACTTCATTATTGAGGAAAAAGAGAGCATCTTGTGGTTTGAACATCATTTTTTGGGGCAAAAAAATTATATTATTTAGTCTCCTATTTATCATTGATTCCAGAGTGGCTTTATACAAATAAATTATTCGGTTTGTGTCCTAGCTATCCCATTAGCAAAATGGGAATAATATTAATGAGAATACTATTACTGCTCTCTTAATGAAATGATGAGAATATTAATTAATTTCCAATTTGCCCCATTGGGAAAAGGCAGAAAATACTTCCCAGTCTAGAAAACACTTAGTCCCATTTTGTAGCTGAGAATTATTGTAGATTGAATCCATTCATGGGTACCAATCAGGAAATGATTTCTCAAATAGTTGTTTGAGAAAGGGAAAAAAGTTTCCAGAGATATAAAGAACACAAATAAGACATAAATGTGAAAGAGATAAAACAGAAAATTAAAATTTAGAATTTAAATTTTGTAACGAGAAGGAGTCTTCAGGCTTGATGGAGGGTACAAATCAGAACTGAATTTTGTTTGAATTGGCTTGCTGTGATTAAAGCCAGCTACACCTCASCTCTGTGTTACACAGGGGACAGATATGCCAGCAAAACAATGTAAATGCCAATAAATGGAAATCTGGATTGCAAGATGGGAAATGCTGATGACTTGCAGAAATAAAGAGAATGACTTAATCAGAGTTACAGGAAGCAGGCTGAAACAATAATCTGCCYAGTAAAAAGGACAATAACGATAGATGTAATTTTATATGTCATATAAAGAGAGGAAAGCTATTAACAATATTGCAAAAGAGCAGATACAGATATTTGTGGATAAAACGACTTTTACTGAATGAGTTTACCTTAATAGGTACAGACTGTCTTTCTCAAAATACTGTGGAATATTATCTAGCATTTCATAAAACCCRTCAGCTGGAGAACACAGGAGCACAGCTGATAACACTTCTGGAACAAACCATGGTCTGTCAAGGATGGACCAAGCCCTGTGATGAGTCTCCAGTGCTTGTAGGTTTTATTGCTGCTTTCAAAAGAAGCAGGACACCTACAATGAGCTCCTTGTTTCCCATGAATTACCCACCCTCTCACAGCCTTTCCTATTTCTCAAGATGCAGACATGAATCAAACTCTGGAGGTGTAATAAAGAGCTGGGAACTCTTTCTTCCTTCCTCCCCKCCGCCCCCAAGCTCCCCTCTCTTTCTGAGATTCTCAGAAGGTCTGTTAATGAAAGTTCTGTCTGAGCAGATCCTGTGGCAGTAGGTGATGCCATGTCACAAAGTGATCTTTATTCACCATCTCAGCCCCTTGCAAGCAGACCTAAATCACATCCTCTACCTCAGAAATGCCCAGGTACCCTCTGTTTCTGCCTGACCATGGCATGAAATGAAATAAAATTCAATATAAATGAATTTTAATTTCACTTCCTCAACAGTGACANAAAAAAAAAAAAAAAAAAAAGAAGAGTAGATTTAAGCATTTATACTGTACCTACAAGCACATTTACCCTCTGAACTACGTAATGATTTCCACCTTATCTCCCTAAACCTCTCTGCTCTCTGTGAAGTTGTTTTGCCACACCAAGTCAAAGTATTGCCCCTTTTCAATAGCTGCACTCACAATTTTCCTTTTAATGAGCTTTTAATGAGCCTGGCAATTATTTGTCCATTCACAAGAGTGACAGCTGATCTGAAGCAAAATAGGAGGGAAAAGACCAACTGATTCAGGGAGATTTAAAAGCTTTTTCAGCTTCATGACTGATGTATTAGCTGAAAAATTAACAGAATCTGCTGCAGCAAGAAAGCAGAGATGCAGAAAAGCRTTTTCTTTGTGCAAGGTGCTGCCTTTGTGGAAATTATGCCATTTCCTAGTGCCTGGGACAGTCATTCTGACACAAGCTGCCCTGCTAGTGCATGAAGGGGATGCCAAGCAAAGCCACTTCCTCTATCTACTGGAAAAGTGAATGTACTCCTTAGAAAAACAAGGTTCATGCAGTAAAATAAATTTTCTCTCTATCCAAAATTTTTTATTTCTCACTTTTGTGTTTTAGGTATTATAAATTGCAACTCTCCAGGGACTGACTTCTACCCTTGAGCTTCTGTTACACCATTTTGACAACAAGACTTTGMGTCTTCTTCACTGGTGTTTGTGTCTAGGGATGATTTAGGCTGACCTCCAGCTGTTACTGAAGCYCTAGAAATATTTCCTCAGGTAATAAACCTTTTCCTTTGCTTAACAGTAGTGTTTCACTAAAATGCAAACACGTTCCAGTTATTGTTGTATGCTATTCTTTATTCCCAAATAGTTTTTCTGCTTTTCATTGCAGCTTTTAGAGTAAGTATTCATGGAATTTTTGAATGGTTTGGGATGGAAGGGACCTGAAAGATAATCCAGTCCCACCCCTTGCCATGGGCAGGGACACCTTYCACTGTCCCAGGGTACTCCAAGCCCTGTCCAACCTGCCCTTGGACACATCCAGGGATCCAGGGATGTCACAGCTTCTCTGGGCACCCTGTGCCAAGGACCTCCCCACATTCAGAGGGAAGAATTTTTTCCCAATATCCCATCTAAACTGATCCTCTTTCAATTTAAATATTGAGAAAACTTCTCTGACTTTCAATTTAAGAGGTGAAGATGAGCAGAGAAATATCAGCTGCACTGTGAGCAAAATTTCAAATATCAGAGTCAGCTAATGCTTTTTARAGAAATTGATGCTGAAATCATCTGATAGAAAAATCAAGAAATTGGTGGTGACAATAAATTTTACCACCAATGGAAACAATGAGAAAGCAATAAAAATGAAACATAAATTCTTTCTAATGTAGACTCCAGGCAGAAATTACTGTCCAATGGGTGCCACATCAAAGCTACAGAATCAGTTTTGCTTGAACCAAGTTTCTTTGCAGATCTAGGAAACCGCTTCTTGCCTTCCTGAAATGGAGGCATTTTGCTCTCATCCTCCTTTTTTGGAGACATTTTCTGTGTGTTTGTCCAAGTCCTTTGTAGTTCTGATTCAACTGCAGTCACCTATTTCATGTCACAGGATACAATAAGATATTCCTCCCTCAGACTTTCTGCACACCCTCCTCTGAATCTAATCAGTTGTAACATAATTAACTCCAAAAGAGATTTAGTACAGCAGCAAGTTATATAAAGGAGCAGTTGATTGTTAAAGATGACAGACAAGCCCTGATGCATGTGCTTCCAAGCAGTGATTCTATATAAAAACCTGGTTAATTGGTTAATTACAATAAGGTAGGGGTGTATCATCCATAGTTACCCATCACTCAAAAAAAGTTTTAGCTGCGGCATCAACTTCAAAATTACAATGAACATTATTTTCAACCCCGTGCAATAAATTCAGTATTGCAAATGAAACAGAAAAGGAGCATTTGGGTACTTCCAAAATATAAATAAATTATCCCAACTTTGAATGGTCAAAGAATAGCACTGCCTTCGAGAAAAAAATACTTTTCCCCTTTGCTGGAATGCTGCAGAATCCATTTTTAACAAGCTTTCAGAATAAGTGCACGCCATCTAAGCAATATTTGGAGTTCCTCTGAGTGTTTCCAACTTGAACCCAGTTAACTGCAGTTCACCTCTTGGAAAATAGTTGCTCTTTTGCCTCAGATGTCTTTGCCATGAATCACAGGTGGATACTCACAGTCACTATTTGTTTTGAAAGCAGAGAATGTTTCTCTACTGAGCTCCATGTGAAGTACTTCAAATATTCTCTAATGTGAGCTACATGGAAGTTAATTTGCAACTGCATGCCAGACCTAAATTACCAAGGCTTCACAGTTGTCAGAAACGTTTTCTTCAAGATTGGCCAAAGAAATCAGTTTGAACACATCAACGTGTCTTACTTGATGTTCTCCCCTCTTTTTCTCATTATATGTTACAAAGTTAAAGGCTCATTAACAAAAATTTGTGTAGCGTGGGCCTGAATGCTTACACTTACCTTTTGTAATTATAAACTAAATAGGATTCCTACTGAACATCTTCAAATGAAAATAAGCAGGGAGGAAGGTCTCTGTAGAGAAAACAGAAATGAGAAACAGCATTACTGAAGTATTAGGCAGAAAAAAAACAACCCAGACACCCCCAAAAATCTGCTGAGTTTTAATCCAGAGGGCAATGAATCCCTTAGAACAATTTGCCTAAGAACATACGTTATCTTGTCTTATTTGGGGTGTTCAGATCAAGATAAATTTCTGCAGGACATGCTGTAACTCATCCAACAGTTAAAGGCTGAGCACACTGGGAAGTTCACAGAAAGAGAGTTTAAATTTTTTTTGTATCAAAGGTCAAATTTTTTTGGCCTTCCTGGTCTTAATATTTATGTTGCTTTTTAAAAGTTGTCTTCGAAAGGCCACAAGTGTCCAAAGCAAAATTTTGGAGGTAGTTGTATGGAAATCCTGTTGTTTTGCTTCCTGCACAACACAATTTCTGATAAAGCCTTTGTAACCAAATAGAAATTGGGAATGCTCTACAGTCCACTTTACAATTTAGAGAGATAACTGGATTATTTGATATTATGTGACAAGAACCTCCACAACTGAACTAATGGGCATTTGGATCCCTTACAGTCATTGCTTATTAATCAGTAAAGAGGTTGGAGGGTTTGCGGTGGTGTTTTTCTTGCCCCTCCTTTTATTTTATTTTTTTTTTTAATTGTTTTAAACCCTTATGAAGGATGAGAAGTCTAAAACCTGCAACTGCCACAATCTTTCATAAAGTTTATTTGCATTTAAATCCCTTGCTTTTCCACTGCTGCTTATATACAGCCAAGCTTATTTACCTTTTTTTCTCCATGTTTTTCCTGGAATTATCATGAAGAAATCTAAGAGCAGTGGGATTCCTGGGCCACTTGGATTGTGTTCCCAGAAAAAAAAAAGGTAGCAACGTGTGCTGCCCATTTCCCAGTAGCTTTTTCCTTGAAAGATGTTTGTATCTCTGTCACAGTACTTATTTTTTTCCTCTGTCTTGCCAGAAATAAAAACAAATACACCTGGTATGGAAAAACTTGTGTATAAATACAGGAAAAAGGGATACCCTTTGGCAGTTCAYGAGGAAGGTCAGACTGAGGCTAAACAAACAGGATACTTTTCTCTCCCACTCCAATAATGAATTCCTAAGTGTTTCATGCCTTAATCAAATTAAGGAATGAATTCTGTATTAGTCCCTGAGCACCCTAATTCCAGAAAGTCTAATTCCTCCTGGGGTTCTCACCAGTTCATCCAGCTCATGCACCACAAATCAAACCCTCTTCTTGGAAGTTCTCAGTGATTTTACTCATGGCATTTGGGTTTCAAAATCTGTTTCCTCAATTACCAAACCAATGTGAATCATAGCCTTAAAAAAAAAAAAAAAGTAATATTCCCATCCTCTTGGTTGAAGCAGGGAGGAAGAAACCTTTTATATATGAGCTTTATCTTGACCCATGAGTTTCTGGTTTTTGGCATTCCTGTTGTGTCCACCTTTCCACAGAAGGGCAGGAAATGAGGCAGAGAGCAGCTGCCTCCTCAAACAGACTGACTCCAACCAAAATCTCCCTCTTGGGGATTTCAATTCCCTTAAACCAGGCTGATTCAGGAGCAAATTTTGCTCTGAGTCAAACTTTTCCCTTGCAAATGGCTGCAAAGTCACAGCTGTGATKCTGGCTCAGGTGTGTCCTGCAGTGCAGGTGACCCCTCATGATTCACACTCCTTGTGCATTCATTATTCCTATTCTTTATTCTTTATTATTCCTTATTCCTATTCCTTATTAATTTAGTGTGTTCAGACWAGCAATGGAGTTCCAGCCCTGACAARGCACAASTTTAATTASAAATTTAGTCATATTCTCAAAACTSCTTTGCACAATTTTTGTTCCCKGTCTTTGTCAAATGGAGCCAACTTTTTGGGTTTTAGAATCACAGATTAGTGGAATCATGGAATCATAAAATCATTAAGGTTGGAAGAAACCTCTCAGATCATTGAGTCCAACCTATTTTGAGAAACRGAAGGCTACACTTAAACAATAAAGTCATACTAAATGGCATCCCTGAAATTATTCAGTGTATTTGGACTTTTTTACCCCTGAATTTATAATGGTCTTTTAATACTTACACACATTGAATGTTGCATAAAATATTTTAATGCATTTTCTATTGGATATTCAAAATCTAACTGTGCATGTGAAAAAGGATATAAACATTAGTGATACTAGAAAGCTCATACATAAGAAGGGAAAAAACAGATTTTAAGAAAATGGTTCAAAAATTTGCTCAACTTCCACCTTGACTGTGTTACATACACAAACATACTGCATTCCACTTTTTGGTTTGATGCATTCGAAACTTCGAGGTCCTGAGAGCCTGAAACCTGGAGAAGCAAGTGATTTACTGACATGATTTCAGTGCTCTTAGGTCAGTTCATTGTGTTCCTGGCGTTTCTCTGGCTTTTCTGCATGGATGTGCAGAGTTCAAATCTGTGACAAGCCCCATTTAATAACTTGCATCTGTCTGCCTTTGCTAGCCTCGAAAATGCTTGCTCCAGTTTGGTGAATGACCTTGCTGCTCCAAACCACTCAAAACATCCTCAGAATTTTGTTTACAACAATAAAGAGCAGCGATACTCTGAGCATGGTTTGTGCTTTTGGATTCTGCAATCAACATTTCTGTCATGATCTATGTGAGGRCTGGCAACTTGCAGAAAGTTGCTCAGAAAGCTGCAAATCTCATACTGGAGTCCAGCTAAATTAACCTCCCCAGTCAAACCCTCACCTTTCATTAATCATTAACTCTACAAGCAGATTAAACTCTTAAAATGAGCAGTAGGGGGAAAAAAGTGATATTTTTGGATAGCAGGGGAAGATAAATAGGAAGCATCACTATCACATGCTTAATCATGGATGATTTGGGTGGAAATGTGGCCAGGAGATCCCAGGCTGCACAATTGCAGGAAACTGAGAAAGGCAAGGGGATCTCTCACAGTGATTAGAACAAATGGGACTCATTCATCACTGCATTTCCCCCCTAGTTTAAGGGCTTACACGTGCATAGCTGAAATTACTTGGGATATCTCAACTCCATCATCTTATTTCAGTGATAAAAATATGTTTTCCTGACTGGTTTCAAGCTGCGGCTTTGCTGATCTGAGATAAAAAGTCCTGTGACCCAGGCAAAGCTTTCAGAGGAACCACTGCCTAAAAGTGTGGCTGCTCCTCCTTTGGTTCATCTGATTGCAGYCTCAGGCTTTTTGGACTGTGTTTGTTTTCTCTGCTTTGCCTCCTAAATCAACAGCCTGGAAGCAGACCCTGTTTTCATTTTGTGACATCTTGTGTTTTCCACGTTTCAGAAATGGGCAAACAGCTCAGGGCTGGGGAGTGCTGACACACAGCCATTGCTCAACAGGGACCCTTTTGATGTGGGGGAATTGGCTTTTTAAGGCAGTGGGAGAAAGACAGTGCAAATACCACCAGTGCTCAGGGGGTTTCTGGTGGTTGGACACCTCTTGGCCGCTGCTGACCCCATCAAAGCTGCTGAGACCCACCAGGCACCTCCCAGGGAAACACTCCTGCTCCTTTCACAACAACCTCCTGAGCTGGGGCTGAGCTCAGGAAAAGTTACTTGAGGAAATGATGGTCAGCTCTGGGGAAATGTCAGCCTCCTCATTCGCATCAAACAATGTTTATGAGTCTGAAGAGACCTTTTTTTTTTTTTTTTTTTTTTTTTTTTTTTTTTTTTTTTTTTTTTTTTTTTTTTTTTTTTTTTTTTTTTTTTTAATTTTATATACCCACCCCAGTCAGCTGGCTGTTTGTCATGTGAAGATCCTCAACTGTAAATTTTTACCAAATATTCCTGGGTTTAATGAGCTCTGTCASTCCAAACTCCTTTGGCTTCAACCACTGCAAGGAGGCTTTACTCTGTTGCTGCCTCTGGTAAAAAWTTTTGCTGCAGATAAGACACAAAAACAATGTTGGAAAAGCATAAATTTAAAATTCTAATGATTGTTTAGGAAGAAAAGCCAATCCCTGACATGCAGTAATCAAACAGAGGTCAGAGTTTAACAGTGCAGGACACTTTTGCAGACAGTGTCAGATACARGCACTCAAAAGTACATTAATTTGATTTTCCCTGTCTGAGAGACCACTCTTGCCCTCCTCCCTCTACCAGCTGAGGAGACATCAAAATGAGGGAAACTTAAAATCTGCTGTAAGCTGAAACACATCAGCAATGGATGTGACACTGAAAGGGMTGCAGGCATGGTCTCACATCCTTTGCAGATGCATTTTTGGATGATAATTTGTTCTGCCAGCTCCATTTATGAAAGGAATGGGATAAACCAGGTGTGAGACTGTGATTTAATGTGTTATMCTCGCAGCATACTTTGGGAGAGATAAAAAAATCTAGAATGCTGYTCATTAATACTACTGCACTGATCAAAAATCAGAATGGAAATGAGTAATAGAAGTCAAATAAAAATCAATTTAAATGCAGGTCAAACTGATTTACATAATGTAAGRCTTACCAGTGAAATTTTACTCATCATGAAACAGCAGTTGTAATTTTAAAAACTATCCCTTCTTTTTCTTACTGGGGAACCTGTAGGATTCCTTGATGTTTGACTGAGTGTTCACACCAGGCCGTTGAAGCAAACCCTTAAAATATGCGGAGTGGATTGTAAAAATAGGAATTCAAATTGTTCCTGGTAGGCCTTAGCTTCCTCCTGCACWCTTCCCTCACTCCCCTGGCTTTGGCAGAGCTGGGAGTTGTTAGAAGAAGCAAGGGATGTTCTGGGTTTGAAGAGGGATCCATTGTTTGCATGCAGGGTGGGGTCAGTCTGCACAAGTGCTCATTAAATGGGAAAGGAAAGCCCGGCAAAGGTGAAGGGATGGCCTTGGATTTCACTGATTTAGTTGCACATCACAGAAATGCACATTCTCCTTCTGTGATATGTAAGAAATGGCTGSCAAATATCCTCCTTGTGTGTTCTGACAGCTGCAGGAATGGCTGAGCCCTGGCTGAGCTTCCTGCAGGAACACCCAGGGCTATGAGGCAGGAAAGCCTGGGGACCTGAGATGCAGCATTTCCCTTCTGAAGGAGTGAAATCACCACAGAATCATGGAATCATTGTTTGGGTTGGAAGRGGCCTTAAAGCTCATCTCATTCCATGGGCAGGGACACCTTCCACTSTCCCAKGCTGCTCCAAGCCCTGTCCAGCCTGGCCTTGGGCACTGCCAGGATCCAGGGGCAGCCACAGCTTCTCTGGGCACCCTCCCCACCCTCACAATCTCCTCAGAATTTGTCAGGGACACGCCTTGACTTTTCAGACCAAAAACCCCAACAACATTGACACTTCAACTAAAGAAAGATAATACAACACCGGGGCTGCTGCTTCCACCTTTCATTCTTCCACAAGGGTTAAGCAGTGTCTGTCCTCTTGCCTCCAAAGACATAAAAATATTCCTGATATATCTTCTAAAAGGTTTCAGGATTAAAGGCAAGTCATATCCAATGTGGTTTAGTGCTTGTGAAACTCTGGAATATCTTTAGGGCTCAAAAAACTTGTTTCAACTTGCAAAATTTTTCCCGTTTAATCAAACCCCGAATTTCCCAGCCAGGGTGATTCAGTTTTACATTCAGCTGAAGGGAGAGAGTGCTGCGTGTTCACATTATCTAAAACACTCACAATGGGATGGGAACACAAACTGGATGCTAAAACCCTTCAGACATAAAAAGCAAATTGCTCATTAGCAAACCAAATAAAATAGCAACWAAAAAGGCAGAACAAGATTCGAAACAAAATCACAGAGCAGAAGTGTGATGTCMTTAAACTGTTTTAATACCCAGAGATGCCATTTAGGGTGCTGATGTTCAACCAGAGGAAATCCTCATAAGATTTCATACAGCCATACAAGTTCACATTTGCTGGAGGCTTTTCCTGAAAATTCTGGGTCAATTTCTGGAATTTTTATGTTTTGGGAGGAGACAAGTGAAGGGATTTCAGAGGATAAACCAAAAAAAGAAAACTAAGGGATCAAGTCCCAAAGCTGAACAGGTAATGGAACACTGAAGTCACACAGAACTGAGCTGGAGAAATGTGATAAATTAAGAAAAAAGGGGAAACCCACTCAGAATATTCTTACCCAGACATGTGAGTMGTTGTGGCTACGATGGTTCGCTCCAAGAACTGAAGCAGCAGCTGCTCCAGGATATCCCAGCTGCATTTGAAAATTCCCACTTGGAGCTTCATTCCATGGACCCCACAATTGACTCTGCCAGCTTCACCGCCTTTCCTTTTTAGGGAGAACAGAAATAGGATATGACAGGCTCTAATCCCATTTGAGGCTAACTCTAGAGATAGAAAAGGCTTTCTGGAGATGACAACTAAACTGCATTTGACAAGTGAGGAAAATCCACCTGCAGTGACAGATTACTCACTTTAAAAAAATCAGCTTAAGAGAGGTGAAAATTCAAAGAGCTGTCCAGTCACACAAGTGTGAGTGTGAGAAACAACTGGGAAATATTTGGGAGCAACCCATGGCTTTAGAGCTACACTGACAAAGTACTGCAAATCTGGTCAGGTACATTTGTGAATTTTAATAAGTTTCAGATAAGAGAAAGACAAAAAACCTTGGCTGTTCTGCATCTACTGCTACACATTTAATCTTAAGCTGACCTTAAACCAGACAAGAAAATAGAACCAGACAGAATTCTGCCTTTCTGAGTGAAGATTTACCTTGGACGCTACCCTGGGAAGTGTCATGAAGAGTTTCCTCTTGAGTACTTGGGAGTTTTTAAAGCTTTTTGTTGGCTCACCAGACCCCTGCCAGCTTCTAGCATTTCTTGCAGACCACACTGTATTCTTACCCTCACTYTGTAAACTTCGATTCTTTGCTTTTTCATGGCTTTCAGAGCAGGAATTACCCTTAAAGGATGCAAACTCCATCTGGACTGGTGTCTGGAAACCTTTGCTTTGCTTCACCAGTGTCTGTGGGAATTGTCCCAGYTGCTTCTTTCTAAACAAAAGGAGTAACCATAAAGTGAGAATATCTCTACTACTGCGCTAAAGCAGCCTTTCCTCACCATCCCTCTGTCCATTGCCAAACCACTGAGCTGTKCCCGTTTATTTTAAAAACTTATTTAGAAATCTGAATCTGGATGGGGACAGGAAAGTCAACATGAGGTAAGGAAACAGCATTTCAGTTACTCAGCTTGCACTAGTTTCACCCTTATTTGTTATTGCTAAATTATCTCTGGGCTGGAAAGAAGAGGAAAGCTATAATCAGTTGCTTTTAACTCAGGCTTCAAAATTGTGGCCAGAGTTTTTTAGTATTCTGGATTCCTTTACCTAATTGCCATACCACAGTGGCAACTGTACTTAGAGAAATCCATATAAGTTGTTTTTAGGGGAAAACTTTCCTTCCATGGCAGTGAAAATTAAATCTTGAGATAGGTGGGTTTTTATTTTTGTTTGGTCGGGGTTTTTTTGTTGTTGTTTTTGCTTGGTTGATTGCAGGGAGGTTGTTTTTTGTTTTGTTTTTGGGCTCTTACYGTAACATATCTCATTTCTAAAGGCTCAGCTTCACTGGGCAGAGTTGTTATTTATGGTCAGGACATAACATTTTATCCCTTCTGGAAAGCTGACTTGGATTTGTCCAAATACTCCGTAAATGCTGCTCCCTAAATGTTGCTGTTTCCTGTGACAGCGAAGGCCACAGTCCCARCACAGGCAACATTGATCTCAAATATTTTCCTTGGACCTGCCATTCCAGTGGAAATATTAAGAACTTGCTGGGCACAACATAATTGGCAATCTTGCTCCTATATTTTGCTTTATTTTGCTGCTAAGAAAGTTAATATCACAAAAACTTGAAATAAAAGTTGCCATGAAACTCTTTTTTTAAATGAATTTCTTAATGCTCTTGCCTACAGGTGAGCAAAAGAACCCCTGAGTCAGGGGTTGAAGAGGACACATTCTCCTGAAAAAAGGCATTTTAGAGACTGCCTTTGCACACATAGCAAAGGATGGATGCAATCCTGATAGGAAAGTCTTCTTCCTGGGAGCTGTTGAGTTCCTGTCGTTCCCTCTGCACCCCTAAGACAAAGAACCCCTGCACATGAGAACAACTGCTTGCAAATTCAGTTGAAAAACGTAGCTTTAAATCCATAGATGCGAAAAAAACAAAGACCGTGTTCATGTCAAGAATCTGCTGAATCCTGCATTATCCATCTGCCCATGTGTAATTTAATCTGGCACCACTTGCAGTGATGTCATGCCTGGAACGTCCAGCCCTGAGCACAGAGGCTCCCTGGGCTGGAGCTGCTGCCTGAGGTGGAGGGATCAGCAGATGTGGAAATTCGCTCCTGCAGTGGGGCTCACATCGAGCTGTGCCTTGGAGTAAAGGCAGTTTCTGCCCTTTAATCCATGCAGTTTTGGAGCAGGTATGTGTTCAAAAGCYGGGTGGGTGAACCAGGCAGCTCCACAGGCATTTCTTCTGGCTGAATATTGAGATTTTGAGTTGTTCCATTTCGTGTCATTTCCAGGCAACTGCAGCATAAGGAGTGTCTGGCAAAATCCACTCCATGCAGATAAAGTTTTGCTGCATGAGGAGTCTTCCCCCAGCCCAGCTGAGAAAAACTGGGGTCAGTTTTACCACTGAGTATAGCTAAGGAGATGCAGCCACGATTGGAGTGATGATTTATTGTTTTCTCCTGGATTTGTCCAGCAAAATTTCAAACATACTACAGTTATGCTGAGAAATCACAATGTAAGAACACGAGATGTTCCAACSTTGCTGTCCAGAAAAACCTGGTGATCACAGAGTTGTACTCACAACTGAGACAACTGTTTATCATTTTTGAAAAATGGGCCAAAATATGGCAGTCAGCATTTCTTAGAAAATTTAATGTGGATTTTTGTAGCATCAGAGTCATGTATCATTATCCAAGTACTGATGTCATAATGGGGACAATGTGGAGATATGGAAGAATTAAATGCCTAAAGATGAAAAATTCAAAAAGAGTTTGGTATAAAATTTAATTCATGCAACATTAAGGGAATTCCTGACAGGAATTTTTCAATCCAAGTCATTAACGTTCAACATCATAAAAAATAGAAGATGCTGTTACATAATAATTTTCAGGACTTTTCCTAAAAGTTCTCTCTTCAGGTAGACACCACAAATAGAATTTTTTTCATGGCAGCAGTGAGGGGTTATGGAAATTCAGGKTTTTTTTCTATTTCATGTGGCATAGTTGAAGATACAGGGTGTTACTTTTAGCAAGAAAAGAGCAAAAAGGAAAAGCTCTTGCTAGCAAATGCCTACAGCTGAGAAGTCTTCTGGAATGCTAACTCAGATAAGAGGAGTGACAAACATGCCCTTGATATTTATAATTTTCGTCTTTTATGTGGCAGCTTTTGACTTTGTGACATTTGAAACTGTTCCTGTGAAATGGATTCAGATGTTGCAAAAAGGCACCAGATTTTCCAGAGAGTAAAATAATTGTCTTTAGCACAGAAAGCTGTTATTTTTCTTGCACGAAATAAATCAAAATCAATGTTAGACTAATAATAAAAAAAGCTTCAGTCATAAACAATCTGTTCCCTTTGTTAGGTTTTATGTCGTCTTTTGCWTGAGAAGTTAAAAACAAAAACAAAAAAGCCCCAAAAGTTCTGAAAGCTCTTCTCCTGTAAATGACTTTACTCAGCAGTAAAAAACACATCGGATTGAATCTGCAGTGATCTGCTGCACTGAAGCTGAGTTCCTCAACAAAGGGCACCTCTTYTCAGATTCTCCATCCACTACCAGGGTGACACCAATTTCACAAACAGCCCTGTTCAGTTTWATTGCTGAGATCCTCACTATGTATCAATCTCTAATATGAAGGGGTCTCTTACATTATTTTTTCAGCCCATTCAATGCCCTGAACCCCCGTAGCCGTGATTTCCTCTGTGGCAAGATAAAACCGAGGATTTCTCTCGAGGTTGTGAGGTACCTGAGCTTAGAGATGGTGCGACCAACACCAATATGTGCCCTTGACTCCCCTGGGTGTGCTGAGCTTGCAGAGCTGTTTCTCCTGGGGTTGGACTCAAACTGAATTCCTTCAACTTCTGCATCACCAGAGGTGACATTCCAGTCCTCGCTTCCAAGTTTCCAGAGGTGGCACCAAAAGCACTTAGGTTAATCCTTGTGTTTGTGGGCCAATTCAGTGCCTTGACACGAGCATTTCTGTCTGCCTGCATTTTGAGAGTCCTTTGAAATATTTCTGGAGGTGACACTGGGGACATGGTTTAGGGGTGGGGTGATTGTGGTGGGGCTGGGTTGGGAGTGGCACCAGATAATCTTTGAAGGTCTGTTTGAGCTGCAGCTCTGGGTGTAGTTTGCCACCTCTGACTGCAGCTGTTGCAGGACAAACAAAGTCTTCACACAATAATGGGGCTGGGAGGACTCAGCAGACAAAAATAATTACAGTGTTAATAAAAATTAATAGACTGCACTGGCCTAAATCCCAACTTCCTGCTTCCATGCTTTATTTCCCCTTTTTTTTCACAAACTCATTAGAAGAGGACTAATTTCATATATATTTAGTGGCAGCTGAAGGTGCAGTGGGAGTAACTGTCTATAAGCAAAAAAGAGAAAAAAAAATGCTGAAGGGGAAAACTGATTACATTTCAAGCAGAGCACCTTCACTTCCAGCAAGGTCTCTGCTGTTTCTCAAAGCTTTGGAAAAGTTTTCTGATGACAGCATGGATTGTTTTTCCTGTTGCACTTTCCTTCAGTCTGTCTACAAGCAGTTGTTGAAGTGGATTTAAATGTRCAAATGGTATTTTGAATGGAGTCTGGAAACTGTAACACATCAGAAACGACAAAGACAAAACTCTTTAAGCTGGGAAGGAATGCAAAACAGGACAAGCAACTGTGCCAGTCATGAGAAGAAGTGAAAAGCTCCTTCTGGTGTTTGCTGCAGCAAAAATTTTGTTCTTTCTAGAACTTCAGAAGATATTTATGCTCAGTAGGAATTTATCCCTCACGAGTGTTCATTCAGTGACCATGGCACACATTCAAAAACTTTGTGTCTAGGGTCCACTGTAATTACTGGAGGCCAAGACTATTTATCTTTTCTCGTTTTGGATGAATATTAAGACGGCCATCTCCTAGGTACAGGCTTAATAGCTCCATGGAAGACAAAAAAAATCAAATTTTTGTGCCTTTCCACAGAGAAAGCATACAAGTAATCCTCATCCAAGATCATTAAGACTTCTAAGGCAACACTGTCACGYGGGCTTTGGGCTGCATTTTATTAAACTATTAAACTATCTCACAAGCCTTAGACAATTAGACTGAGAATTAATGTTTCAGAGACAGCAGGGAGCTCTGAGACTGGCACCTCTGCTGCTCCAGTGAGAAGAGAAGAAGCTGAGAGGATCATCAAAGCAACCTTCCCGGGGCTCTGAGGTTTCTGGGACTGAGGTTCCTCTCACTACTGACATTGCCCAATTTCCTCATGGACGTATTTAACATCATCTATTAAAAATCAGAGCCTGTGAACAACAAAGGCTTGGAGAGACAACACTCGGTATGCAAGGTCTGCCTGGAGAAACAAAATTGCAGCCAGAGCCTCGCTCCCTGGATCAACACAAAGGCAATCCAGAGGGGAGAAAGTGAGGAGCTGTGTGATGAAAATTAGAACCATCAGCATATTGAGAAGGAAACAAAGGCATAACCAGTTCTCTCACCAGCCCTATCCTCACTGCAGATACAGTGTTAGCAAATTCCCCTCAGCTAAAGAAAGCAATTTTATTGTTTGATCAGAATTGTTCCTTCTGGTTGCTGTGCATCGCTGATAAAGCAGCCATTACATAACAATTAACCAATGCCAATGATATTTGCTGTAAAAATCTGCACCAAGGGCTTAGCTTGGACAYAGAGGCAGTGAAGCGTTGTCCACTGGTGCATTTGACCCCTCAGAAAGCTGCCCTGAAAATATGCACAGACCCCAACASTCTGTTTTTGGTAACTGCTGCAGTCAGGATGTTCTTTGTGTCCTTTCTCACCTTTGTCTACGCTGCAAATGCATCCCCATCCCTCAAACCCAGGAAAAATAGCTGGACATCATTTCTGATCAGCTCTGTATTTCCCTAGAAGCTTGAAAATTCTTCTGCTCTGCCCTTAGACATGTTTCTGAATATTTGTCCTTTTAAGAGCTTCAGCCATTTCCAGCTTTGCTAATTTGACAAAGATGTGAGGCAAGATGTGTCTCTATAAAAGGGGAAGATCCACATAAAAGTGACCCACTCACTCCTAAATGTMTTCAAATGCTTGGCCCACGTGCTTATGAAACAGCTGAATAGGAGCAACCAAAAAAACTTTGCAGAAGGCTGTCTTGAGTCAATTATATCACAAAGTACAGATCTGCTTCAAGGGCTCCCTGTCCCGTTTGCAATTCATGAAAAATGCTGGAAGCTTGGCAAGGAGGGTGGGCTGGAATTTCAGGTACCAACTGTATCCCTCAACAAATCTCCCTTCCATTGCAAGAGGAGAATGCATGAGAAGCACTGCTCCCACAGTTACTTAGGAAAGAGAAAAACCTATTCAACCGAGACCCCAGAAAAAACCCTAAGCAAACCACAGGGTTAATTAGATACATATCCCTGCAAATCTAAAAGTGTTTCCATTACAAGGCCATGGAGGAACACCCATGATGTGTTTGTAATGGCTATGACACAGTACTTGTAAGATATGTGTGTACAAATAAATAAATAAATAAWWAAAAAAAATTAATTAATATGTTTTGGGAAGAAATTCGTCCCTGTGAGAGTGGCAGGGCCCTGGCACAGGGTGCCCAGAGAAGCTGTGGCTGCTCCTGGATCCCCGGCAGTGCCCAAGACCTTGGTTATAAGACTTTTTAAAGCACAGAAGAAATAAAATGCTCTTTATGAGACTCATGTATGTGCAGAACCTGCCAGGTCTGAGGCTGCACAGATCCTGTTGTTGATATGACCAAGGTGGGGAGAAACAGCTTTCAAGAATCACTAGAGAACAATCCAAATCCAAYGATTAAATACTGGAAAATGAAAGAACTTGACTATATTGCTTAAAATAACTTCCAAATTATGCCATATAAAAACACCCCACCCTGTATTTTAAGAGTTCAAGGTTAATAGATTTATTTTCAAAATAGTTATTAATAAAACTGATTTTCCTTCAACAGGCAACAAATGAAATACCCCAGAGTTCTTTTCTTTAGCATTCCAGATATTAATTCCATTCTGCTCTTTAGCATTTCAAATTGTTTCCATAAAGCACTAATTTGACATTAAAGTTGTATAAACCAGGGGTACCAAAAAAAACCCAAGAAATTAACAGACAGTCCCAAATCTTATATTATTAGGATGTTATACTGAAGTTGAAYACTGAGTAATTAACAAGCAGGCAGATGAGGTGCTAATCAATAAATTAGACATCAACAAGGTACCTGTTAGCTAAAATTGCTAAAAATTCAGAGTAGTAAAAGCTACGAGGATCAGCRTCTTGAAGACTCATAAAAGAATGTAAGTATTGGAAAATGCTTTTGAAAGGTGATTTGTATGGCTTACAAATCCAAAATTCCTAAGAAAATCCCATGAACAAGGCTTGGTTTCCAAAGGCCTCTGAAAGCTCTGCGTATCTTGAAACAATAAAAGATGCGTAGCAGGAGCTAATTTATTACTTTGTTAAATGAATTGTTTCCATGCAACTTTCCTTCTGCTGAAATGTAAATGCGGTAAATAGAAGGTGGAAGCTGAAAATACCACAGAAGAATTCATCCCTGAAGGAGGAATCTGAGCTGTGCCCTGGCCACCTGTGAGATATTAGCAGCACGTTGTGAATAGATCTGATAAAATTAGTGTGTATTGGTAGGATAATGCAGCTGTTGCAATGTAACTTTTGGCTTACACCAGGCTTATTCATAATCTATTTTTATGATTTTCAAAATCCAGCAAAATAAAAAAGGACCACTGGCTAATGGTTCCCATACTGTTGAATCAAAGAGCTATTTGCAGTCTACTCCAGAAGCAATTCCCCCTCCTGTCTTCCCCTCTCTGCAGCCCTCGAGTGCTTCCAGTTATAGCATTTGATTTCTAAAATTAAACTTGGATCCACCTTAAAGCTCATAGTTTAGAGAATCTGGATAAATGAAATGCCATTTCAAACATCACCATGCCATCCCTTCCCTTTCCTGTACGCTAGGCAGAGCGGAACTTCTTCACTGCTTAAATGTTTAAGGCAGCATTTACTTCTATCCTTTTCCCTTTTTACATATTTCTGATAAAATTTCAAGTATTTAGCTTCTTTTGTTGCTGTTTTTGTTCTCCATTTACAAGAAAACACAAGTGAATTCCACATTTGATTATGGATACTCAATGGTGATTTGATTTATAAGCTCTCTTCCAACCCAAACCATTCCATAATTTTATGTAACAAATAATAATGCTAAAGGTGACAAATGGAGCTGAAACATTTATCATTACCCCATTGTAATACCATCAAAATACACAAATGGAATCCCTGCTTACACTACAATAACTGAAAAGATTCACAAGAAGGTTCAAAGGGGGTGGAATTTCTAAGCT